GCTGACTTGGTTGATATATGTCAGTGAATCCCAAACATTGCGTAGATCGATGCTCATGATGTTGATCACTGGATTGTCTGGTTCAGACTCGCATATTTACAGACCGCCGCCATATAGCTGGAATATTGCTGAGTGCGGCGTAAAACAACAAACCAACCAACAACCATGTGAGAAAATAGTGTGGAACCGGGATTCGAACCCACAATAAGCATACAAGACTAATTGGCCTGCAGATAGGCACCTTGACTTTGTTCCAGAACGACAGAGTTTGCGTTCACTTTATATGTTAATATTGCATCAATATTCAGAAATTGCTTCCTTCAGCTGAGATATCTACCGTATGGCTAATAATAAATGACATTTGTTTATTCTTACAGAGGCGTGTGTAGCCATGCCTAGTGGACAATCTGAGATATTTGTGGATGTCCAAGAGAGTGCAACTGTTGGTATGTACCGTAATTTATTTTATACATTTACAGTGACGTAACAACAGGCATTTTCATATGCAAACGTATTTTATATTTATGTGTCTGTATTATATCTATACCGATAAACGGATAATGCCCATCCCGTATTCATATTAAATTTGTACCGACAAATGGATTGTGCCCATCCCGCGCCTATGTTATATCTCTACCGATAAATTAAATGCTCTGAAGATCCGCGTTAGAATTGATCTGCAGAAACCCATGTTTGTAGTAAGAGGCGATTAAGTGGATCGGGTGGTCAGGCTCACTGACTTGGTTGACAAATGTCATCGTATCCCAGTTGAGTAGATCGATGCTCATTTTGTTGATCAATGGATTGTCTGGTCTAGACTCGATTATTTACAGACCACCGCCATATAGCCGGAATAATAGTGCGGCGTAAAACAACTAACACAAACAAAGCTCATGAATACAATTAATGCGTGTCCTGCTCTCATATTGACTGAATGTTGCTAAAAGCAGGCTGAGTACAACACGTGTCATTGTATCCCAACTACGTAGATCAGTGTTCAGTATATCAATCACTCGATTGTCTGGTTCAATCAGAACTTGTTGTTATTGGTACAGGTTCTGTGGTAAAGAAGATGCAGTACAACGCCAGCACTGATGAGGTCCTGGTGACGGGGGTTGCTAACACCTACTTCGACTACAATGACACAAGTCAGGAGATATTCCTCATTAAGAAACTGGATGCTGACACTGGTGAAGAAACTGAGAGGTTGGAACTGAAGTGTCAGTTGGCTACGTCTCCACAACCGAAGGTAAGAACTACCTACAAAACTGCTACCAGACTGAGTACTGAGTCATTGTACTTAAATGATTGAAACAGATCACAACTGCTTTTGAAAAGGTATATACGAAGGGGTTAAAAAGGTATACCGTGTTTACATTTTAATGGAATAGTGAAAATAGCATAAAAACCGCTGATAAAATTGATTTAGCCTTATCAAATTCAAGCAACAGTTTGTTAAAAGTACGTGGCTGCGGAATTTTGTGTAAAATAACTGATGGTTGATGGGTAAAATAAACTGGTTCAATGGGGTAAGAAATGAATTTTCAACTACAACAAGCTTAAATTCATGATACAATCAACTGAGAGGTTTAGTTTCTTTTGGTTCTCAGTTTATTATTTGGGTTTTGAACCGTGCACAAAGCTTTAAATCATAACCGTCGAGGCAAGATAATAATCTGTCTGCCGAAACAGATTCTGTTGGGTGTAGAGATTAGAGGGGTTTTTTTTCTCTATAATATTGTTAAAATATGTTCAAGCTTGGTGTGGTATACCACACTGTGACTATACACACTGTATACCACAATGTAAGTATACCACACTGTGACTATACCACAATGTACTATACCACAATGTAAGTATACCACACTGTGACTATACCACAATGTAAGTATACCACACTGTGACTATACCTCAATGTAAGTATACCACACTGTGACTATACCACAATGTAAGTATACCACACTGTGACTATACCACAATGTAAGTATACCACACTGTGACTATACCTCAATGTATGTATACCACGCTGTGACTATACCTCAATGTAAGTATACCACACTGTGACTATACCACAATGTAAGTATACCACGCTATGACTATACCACAATGTAAGACTATACCACAATGTAAGTATACCACACTGTGACTATACCACAATAAGCATACCACACTGTGACTATACCACAATGTATACCACACATACCACACTGTGACTATACCACTAACTATACCCACAATGTAAGTATACCACACTGTGACTATACCACAATGTAAGTATACCACACTGTGACTATACCACAATGTAAGTATACCATACCACAATGTGACTATACCTCAACTGTACTATACCACAATGTAAGTATACCACACTGTGACTATACCACAATGTAAGTATACCACACTGTGACTATACCACAATGTAAGTATACCACACAGTGTGACTGACTATACCACAATGTAAGTATACCACACTGTGACTATACCACAATGTAAGCATACCACACTGTGACTATACCACAATGTAGGTATACCACACTGTGACTATACCACAATGTAAGTATACCACACTGTGACTATATGTAAGTATACCGCTATAGGCACTATGCCTGAATGTAAGTATACCACAATGTGAGTATACCACTGTAAAGGAACTATACAATCCTATTCCAGCTTACCATCGCAATAACCATGCTGATCAAAGACTTCAACGACCACCCTCCAGTGTTTGACAAGGACAATTACTACATAAACGTCAGCGAGGTATGGTAATTCCAATACAATAGAAACTAACTTTAACGCACACGCGCACACACATACACACACTTCCTTACTGATGATGTCTTGGAGTTTTGCCTCTGTTTATCATCTGAAGGATTGCTACCCTTTGTCTTTCTTTTTAAAAAAATTCTTTGAGTTTCGTAAACAATTTGGCTTCTGTTTATCATCTCAAGGATTGCTGCTACCTTTTTATCTTTCCTGTTTATATTTCCTTGGAGTTGCGTAGACAATTTCGTTTCTTTTCATCATCTCAAGGATTGCTACCTTTTGTCTTTTATATTGATAATTTCTTGGAGTTTCGTAAACAGTTTGGTTTCTGTTTATCATCTCAATGATTGCTACCTTTTGTCTTTTATATTGATAATTTCTTGGAGTTTCGTAAACAGTTTGGTTTCTGTTTATCATCTCAAGGATTGCTACCTTTGTCTTTTATATTGATAATTTCTTGGAGTTTCGTAAACAGTTTGGTTTCTGTTCATCATCTCAAGGATTGCTACCTTTTGTCTTTTATATTGATAATTTCTTGGAGTTTCGTAAACAGTTTGGTTTCTGTTTATCATCTCAAGGATTGCTACCTTTTGTCTTTTATATTGATAATTTCTTGGAGTTTCGTAAACAGTTTGGTTTCTGTTTATCATCTCAAGGATTGCTACCTTTTGTCTTTATATTGATAATTTCTTGGAGTTTCGTAAACAGTTTGGTTTCTGTTTATCATCTTTTTCCTATTGATAATTTCTTGGAGTTGCGTAGACAGTTTGGTTTCTGTTTATCATCTCAAGGATTGCTACCTTTTGTCTTTTATATTGATAATTTCTTGGAGTTTCGTTAACAGTTTGGTTTCTGTTTATCATCTCAAGGATTGCTACCTTTTGTCTTTCTTATTGATAAATTCTTGGAGTTTCGTAAACAATTTGGTTTCTGTTCATCATCTCAAGGATTGCTACCTTTGTCTTTTATATTGATAATTTCTTGGAGTTTCGTAAACAATTTGGCTTGCGTTTATCATCTGAAGGATTGGAGTTTGATCAGGTTATTACGCTAGTTCTCGAACAAGTCATACATTCATTATCAACATAATCATATGTGTAACTACATATAATGCATTTCACATTGCAATTAGTAGTCATTGACAGGAAATATAAAAGAATACAAACAAGACAATAATTCCCATCTTACTTCTGTAGACTGATGATTGTACTTAATGTTCCAGATCGAGCCAAATGGAACCGTTATTCCAACGCCAGCTTCTGCCACTGACAGGGATGCTGATAAAAATTCCAACGGGCGTATCTACTACAGCATCCCAGAGATGTACTCGGTCTGTATACAGCAAACATTCACCGTGCTTTCTGTAATGTTGTATAATGTAAACAACTGAAAATAGTCTCGAAACATCTTTCACAAATAATCAGTCTCGAAACATATTTCATTGGCCGTAAAAGGTAAATCACAATTAATTTCATTTTACGTTTAATCTAGTTTCCAACATAAATTGCGATAAAAGTTTAAAGTCAATCTCCATTACCGAAATGTATTTAATTAAGGGGCAGTAGGGTAGCCTTGGGGTTAAAGTGTTCGCTCGTCACGCCGAAGACCCAGGTTCGATTCCCCACATTTCTGGTGTCCCCTACCGTGATATTGCTGGAATGTTGCTAAAAGCGGTGTAAAACTAAACTCATTCATTACTTCAATAGGCGTAAAATTTAAAACATTAAATCATACTTAATTTCACTTCAGTCAAGTTCAGTAAAGTTCCAACATAAATATTATAAACAAAACTTTATATGCTAGGATCACTGATAATCAGTAATGAAATCAGGAAACCTGAAATTATACGACATGTATATAAAGTGTTCGTGGTTTTACGCCGTTTTTAGCAATATAAAAGACTTCACACAATGTCCCATATTCGAACCCGGGTATTCGGCGTGACGACATTTAACCACTATATATAAAGGCATTATGATGATCGCATGCCGCAAACACCTACTGGAGACAATACGGTTTTTTTCTGTTTGTGGTAGACTGGTGATCCAAACTTAAGTCTTCATAAACAAAAGCTAGGGTTTCTATACTTACAATGGTTTTGAAAAAAAGCGATGATATTTCTTTGGTTGTCACTAATTTCGTTAATTTACTCATGTAAAAAAGTAAATTTCTTAACATGTTGTTTGCATTCTCTTCACAGTCATACTTCGAAATTAAAAATCCACTTCGGACTTCCCTTACACTCATCAGCCCGTTGGATTATGAAACAACCCCAACATGACGATACAAGTAACAGCAATGGTGAGTAAAGCATTGTCGGTGCTAATATGTTATGAGTGTCACACATGAAAACCCTATTTCTAAATAAATATAACATCCCCTTAACCTATTCCTTTAAAGGACCTACGAAGATCCGTGTTAGAATTGATCGTCAGTTACCAATGCTTGTCGTAAGAGGCAACTAACGGGATCGGGTGGTCAGGCTCGCTGCCTTGGTTGGCACATGTCATCGTATCTCAATTGTGTAAATCGATGCTCATGCTGCTGATCACTGGATTGTCTGGTCCAGGCCCAATTATTTACAGACCGCTGCAATATAGCTGGAATATTGATAAAACTAAACTCACTCACTATTCCTTAATAGTGCGTAACACATTTTCATTTTGTGTTTTATAATAGGACCAGCCCACAGGTGGGGCGACCCAGATGACGGCAACAGCAACGCTACACATCAGCGTTATCGACATGGATGATCTTCCACCTGCTTTTGACGAACCTTCATATGTAGGAACTGTCCCGGAACTGTCACCAAAGGTACGAGGTCTAAACTGAAATAGGTCGGATGTTTTAGTATAAATTTCTTTAATTGCCATATATGTGTGACTACAAGCACTCAGTTCAATTGTCAAGGGGTTAGCCTCAGGAAGGGCATCCTCTCTAGTTTCGTGAACACCCGGTGTCGATAGTTTCGTGAACAGATGGTGCATTGTGCTTACTGAGTACAGGGTTTTGAGTGAGTGAATTTAGTTTTACGCCGCCTTTAGTAATGTTCCAGCAATATCACGGCGGAGGACACCAGAAATGGGCTTCACACATTGTACCCATGTGGGGAATCGAACCTGATGTTTTAGCGCGACGAGCGAACGCTTTAACCAATAGGCTACCCCACCGCCCCTCAGGATTTTGAATACGTTGGATATAAGAAATTGAATACCCAGTAGGACTGACACTTGCCATTACGTGTACGTCACAAGCAGATAATCCGGTGACTGACATCATGAGCACCGATCCACGACATGAGTACATGCAATCAACAAAGTCACTGTGCTTGACCCTCCGATTCTCTAACAAGCACCTGTTACTTGGGGCCTATTTTATCACCCGGATATGTTCACTAATCTGGTTTTAATAAATAAAAATTTTTTATTTTTTTTTTTTCATGAAAAATAAAGTCTTCCATCATAACATTCGTTACATAATGACACATACAAATACATGAATATAATCATGGTTTTGATATTACTTGTATTATAATGGCGTGTTGTCATTTGTTTTCAAGGGTACAATAGTGAATGTTACTAAGGCAATCTCAGCCCGAGACCAAGACGTTACAATCAACGCCCCCCTCCGGTATTCAATCAAGAAAGGTGAGATTGTCACTGTCGCTTGTGATTTAAAGAAGAGTGCGCTTCAAAGTTGGTTGGTTTGTTGTTTAACGCCGCACTCAACAATATTCCAGCTATGTGGCGGCAGTCTGCAAATAATCAAGCGTGCACCAGACAATCCTGTGATCAACAGTATGCGCATCGATCCACGCAAATGGGATACTATGACATGTGTCAACCAAGTCAGCGAGCCTGTCCACACGATCCCGTTACTCGCCTCTTATGACAAATATGGGTTACTGAAGATCAATTTTAACCCGGACCTTCACGGGTTACGCTTCAAAGACCATTGCATAACTAGTATTTGTGTAACAAGCAGGTGTTTTGCAATGTAGTGTTTTTAATAATGTGTGCAAACTGTGTCACATTCCATCACCGTTATTAATGTTATGTTTGGTCGATCTTCTATGTGTGGAACTAGCGGTTGTCTCGAAGTAAAGTCCCTGGATATTAGTTGTAGTCACTATTCTGTGTCTATGTCGACCTCGGATAACTCGAAGTACTTACGTAACTTCGACACCATTCTTTGACAATATTAATACAGGCATGCACGCACACACACATGCACATCCACGCACACACATACATACATACATACGCACGCATACATACATACATACATGCATACACACATACATACATACATACATACATACACACGCGCACATACATACACACACACACACACACATACATACATAAATACGCACGCACGCACACACACACACATACATACATACACACGCACGCACACACACACATACATACATACATACATACATACATACATACATACATACATACATACATACATACATACATACATACATACATACATACATACATACATACATACATACATACATATAGTTGACCGACTTCCATTTTTGGGAAGTAGCGTTGGCGGAGTGGGCTAGAAGGTTGACTTCGCGTCTTTGCGATCCCGGACGGGACTCAACCCAACAAAAGTACAATAATGTGCACTTAATTGAGAAAGTGTAATCCCAAACCTAACATGTGTACAACTGACCACTTTCTAATTGGCATTGTGTATTCATATCCCATTCCAGCCACCAACGACTACTTCAAGATTGACCCTAACACAGCAGTGCTGTCCGTCAACAACCCGCCCCCTGCCCAGGAGTTCTCCATCATGATCGAGGTAGGTCTATACAATACATACACACTCGCAACACACCAGTCAGTTAAACCGGGTAGTATAGTGGTTTATGTGCTCGCTGTTCATGCGAATGTTCGAGTTCGATTCCCAACAAGTTTTCAAAATGTGGAGCTAATTTCTGGAACACCACAAAAAAAAACGGCGTAAAACTATACTCACTCAAGGTATCAGTCGTTTAAAGTTATTTTAACCAGGTAGACTAATGCTTCACTGGAATTTGTTTATATGGATCCAACGAAGATCGATTTACAAGGACAACGTATGTTAAAACAGGGATAATCTACAACGATTATCCAAAATTATAATACGGAGACTTCTTTACATGATAAGTTACTGAAACGTTATGGGCCGAACTTTGATGGAGTTGGTTGCTAAGTATTACAACACTTTCCCCTGAAAGCTCTGCAGAGGTGTTGAAAAGGAGCACCACTGAGCTGTGAAAGATTCTGAACCAGAGGAAAATTGCTTCGCTTAGGGCTTTGCATTGCAGAAAGGTATGGACGGCAGAGGAAATAATGTGGTTCAGAGACTCAGACAGACTAGAAAGATTTTCCCTGGGGGCGTCAACTGTACATAATCGGTAACTGAAAGTTCAGTGGACCTCGTGTGTTTTAACAGTAGAAACGATGCTTCTGTTATAATTACGAGACCTATTTGTTTGTTTCAGGCGACTCAAGTTGACAACTCGTTCAGGACGGATACAACCTTCATGAAAATAGTTGTATCCGCTATCAACAGCAAGCCCCCTGTGTTCCAACAGCAATCCTACACAGCCAACGTACCCGAGAGTCTGCCCCTGGGTTCCACCATTGTGACCGTCACAGCCACAGACTCGGACTTTGTACGTAATCCCAATCTATCAGTCACTGTCGCTTACTTATATTTTTCTCTTTATTTGCTTTTTTTCTTTTGTTTTGTTTTGGGGTTTTTTTTAAATTAATTTTGGACTTACTCGTAAGACTCACTCTCTCATCTTTATAAGGCGTTATTGTTTTCTTGTCCTTCAGGGCTCTAGACTACGGTATTACTTTGCCAAGGAGGAAAACGTGTTCACAATCAACGGAGGCAGGTGAGGAGATATAGAACATCTATAAACGTATCATTTTAACTATTAAACCTGAATAATTGCATTTGTGTCTCTTAGTACAAGATATTGTTTATACAAGCACCTACAAGCAATTTATGTTATAGTCATTTAAATCCCATCCTACTGGGTACCCATTTGCTGCTTGGGAAACAGAGGCAAATTCACTTACCTTGCGACACCACCTGTTGAATATGTGAATGCCCTGAGTACAGGGCTGGGGCTCATTTCACGAAGCAACCTTTACTAAGGTTAACCTTAACTCCCATTCTTTTACATTGCACTAAGGTTACCTTAGTGACTTACGATCACCTTAGTGCTTTGTGAAAGGAGGGCCAGGACTAAATCCCAAGAATACACTTGCAAGGTTATATTTTGAGGCAACAAATACACTGTTTTGGAAGATAGGAACACGTTCCAAGAACCGCTAATCTGGACACGACAGTGCTTGGACGTCTGCAGGTACCAATCTTATGTCCTGAATGTCAACAGAACAGTTCCTGCTCAAATCCCCCCCAACCCCAGTGGTATATATACCAAATCTACTTCTACGAGCTTTGCTTCGAAATCATCTACAGCTTATCGTTACACTTTCTTAATGGATGAAGCTTTCCACCATCACTCCACAGACCAGGTTAACATCACAATTGTTCTGTAGTACAGTGTCATGTGACACAGAGAAACATTGTTGTTTTATCACTGATGTATATATTGCAGCGGTGTAATGCAGCTGAGACAAGCTTTGGACTACGAACGAGAAACTGGATATTCTATCCTCGTGGTGGTCACTGATGGACAGTTTGTAAGTATCTTCTTTCTTGGAGAAATCGATATACGCTTGTAGTCTTGCAACTTGGCTCGGCCTTGTTGGGTGATAGCATCGTTGAGCACTGTACACGCTGCGATATTTGCAAATCACCTGTCGAATAACCGTGTTGCTTGATCCAGGCATGGACATAAAACACGGTTAACACAAATCATATTCTTGAAAATTGGATTTCACAGAAAACTTACAAACTTTATCAGAACGTCTGCAGACTGAAACCAGTCACCGACAACACTACAAACGTAAATGTCCAACACATTCAGTTATAATACCTGTATCAAATATATCACAGTCGAATCATTTCATCTTTGGTCCAATTCAGCCACCAAACAAACATACGTATTTTGGCTTCATAGCGTGCTATGTATACTCCCAAGATTAGATCATCTCTTTCTTGCTTGAGTTTCCAAGACACAAAACTAAAGTAGTTTAACATTATTTCGAAATGACCATACATGTGAGGCAACCGATCTATCGTTATTGTTTGATGGGCATTCTAGAAATTGGTGAATCAGTAATGAAGCATGGGACTTTATGGAAACCATCGTCATGTTTCTTGCATAGAGCGACGTTTCGTCTGTAGGGTTGTAGGTTATTACACCGTTTCACGCTCAAAGTGAAAAGCTTGAAAACCGTTTTAAGAACCGACACCGAAACGTCGCTCTATGCAATAAACAACGCTGTCCATAAAGTCGTATTATTGTTCCCCCGTGGTACAATGCATGAAACCAAGTTCTTCAGACTCCTCGGTGGCACAATGAATCTCAGTCTATGTTGTTTCTGCAATGATCAAAATGAGATTGTTTGTCATGTGTACTGGGAATGTCAGGAGACACAAACGTTTTGGAAAAACCTACAAATTTGGCATAACAATATATAACCTCATCCATTGCTATTATCAAAACATATGGTATGGTTTGGTACTCTACATCATAATATATTACTAAATCACATCATCATTGCAGCAAAAGGACACATCTACGTATGCAGTATTAAAAATACGCATCCAAACATAACTCTATTTATAAAAACTTTGAAAGAAATATTCTTTGTGGAAAACCATATATGCAAAAAAAATAATAATATAGAACATTTGAATCATAAATGGGGCCTTCTCTTCCCAGTATTTTGATGACTTTAAAATGTATCCATATTTATCTGATATCATATTTCTCTTTTATTGACTTATATATGTGTATTAACATGACATTGGCATAATACCTGTACATCATATATCTGTCTGTACATCACTTTTGTACAGATGACATTGTAATCTTGGGAACCAATAAATAAAAAAACAAAAAGGTTCTTCAGACTCCTCTGTGGCACAATGAATCTCATTCTTGAGACATTTTATTTTCATTTATCCGTCGTAATGTTTATACAACTATACGGTTAATTGGTATGTGTGAGGGTAGGCGATGACAGTATCAGCACGTTGTTGTATGTTGTCCTGCTGTTACAGAACACAACAACGACAGTGACGGTGTCGGTGTCTGACGTTAACGACAACAACCCTGTCTTCACACAGAAAGAGATCACAGTTGAGAGAGAAAGAGTCACGGATGAATTAATAACGACAGTCGAGGTATGTATGTTGAAAATAGCATATATTGCAGGAACGAACTAATTTGATAGCATTGCTCCATTTAAATTTATTAAAGCTACTGTTTGTTACTTCTTGATAGTTCCATGGTTCTTTGAAACTTCATAATAACGGTGCATCTTGCATAGCGACAGTGCACTTTACACTGCAACACTAAAGATGAACTTCGTATATGAATAGTGATAACAAACTTATAGGAACTGCAATGTCCATTTCCGAAAAAGTTTATATATACACCTGCAAGTGACCACCTGCAAGTGACCACCTGCAAGTGATTTCCGCAGGTGTATAAGCAATAATTCATAAAAAATGAATCCAGGTAGTTCCTTTTGCCAAAACTACTTTATCTGCACAAAGTCTTTGGCCTTTCAAAGGCTCTTCAGGTGTACAAATATCTGGACTCATCTTTTAAATATATTTCTGTCTGTCTCTGTGTGTGCGCGCGTGTCTATAGTGTGTGTGTGTAGTTTGTGTGTTAGTGTATTGTATGTGATAGTGTGTAAGTGTGTACTTTGTGTATGTCAGTGTTCAGTGTGTCCTGCATGCAGTGTGTATGTGCGTGCGTGCGTGCGTGCGTGCGTGTGTGTGTGTGTGTGTGTGTGTGTGTGTGTGTGTGTGTGTGTGTGTCTGTTTGTTATAGATACATAACCGTTAGTGTAACTTAATTTGTCGATGTTGTATAACCTCACAGCCTATCCATATTCCAAACCAAGGATATATCGTCATTCTTATATCGAACTGATATGTAAATCTATGAGTGTTTATTACCAATTGTATTATTTATTTCAGGCAGTGGATTACGACTATAACACTGTGCTAAGTTTCTCCCTGGCGAGTCACACAAGGTACGACATTTTGCATATTTCACTGGTTGTGCCCCCTGTAACCTTCACTTCATTAAAAGGGGCGGTGGGGTAGCCTAGTGGTTAAGGCGTTCGCTCGTCACGCCAAAGACCCGGGTTCGATTCCCCACATGGGTACAATGTGTTAAGCCCATTTCTGGTGTCCCCCGCCGTGATATTGCTGGAATATTGCTAAAAGCGGCGTAAAACCAAACTCACTCACTCACTCACTTCATTAAATGTTTAACAAGAGTCCCATTCAATTATACTTTTATTATTTAGAATTGTGTGATTACAATGATATACAAACAAACGCACATTACAGGCTGAGGTTTAGAATGATTCTAATGGAAATACTTCATTGATGATTAATATTAATGTTTTAATTTTGGCGTAATAATGAAATGTTTGGTGTATCGTGAGGGGATATATTTGTGCTCTGACGTAAATGTCTGCGCATATATGAAAGTAGGACAGACATGTCACATACACGATCTATTTTCATTTTAATGTCGAGAGGGTCAGGTTATCCTGTTCTTGTTTTGAATACAAACTGCACTCAACCCTCGTGTCACAATTGTGTATAATATTCCAAGTATTCCCACACAAACTCTACTTTTAGAAGTGTTAAGTTTTGCCACTTCTCCTGAAAGAACAGACAAAAGCCATAAAACCATCATGACTCTTTCCGTGGAAGATTATTCTATTAGCTTCTGTCGAAAAATCAACTTTTTTTCCAAATCCGTCAGTGACTTCAAATACATGGCAACGAAGTCTCGATGTCTCGCCAATCCTACGAGCAAGTTACCCAACGTCCAGCTGAATGCAAAATAACATTCCCACATTGCAAAGGCCCAATGCTTAAGTCCAGTCTCCGTCGGGCTGAATCCTCCATTGTTATTTGAAGCCGGATCGATCAAATGTGTGTGCAAACAAGTGTCAAATACCCTACCAGGTTTCAAGCAGTGTTAGCAAACAGGGCCACCTCTTTTATCAAATACAAGACAATAGAGAAACATTCACTATGCATGGGTCTTTTATCATTTATTACGGAGTGAAATTAAAGGAATGGTATTGTCAACCAAAATTGGCGACATCAGACAACGAACTAAATATTTCGATGATCAAAGTCAAATTTGGAATTATATATGCTGATTCTCCACGTGGGCAATATTTAACTAGAAAATTCACGGATGATTGATAAAAAAGTTTTTTTAACAGCCGACCAGACTTCTATGAAATTTGATGATTGAGGCACGTTGTTGAAAGGTGGTGATGCTGTTTTAACGTTTAGCCATTTGTTAATATTGTTTTATTTGTTTCATGTTTAAAAGGAAACGTTCGGTGCAATATGTTATGTTAGAATTGAAGAACTGTTCTATGTTTTCTTTCTGTTTCATTTTCCCTTCCCTATTTGTTGATATTAGACCTCTTTGACACTTCATCAAACGTTTGAACGTGAATTCAGTTTCGTGTTAATATAGACGTGATGTTAAAAGAAAGATTGTTTAGGAATGGTGCGGAGGAAAATAGTTATGAAATATTCGTCCTTAAAACTACATCCTCATCAGACGGAAATATTCTTTTACACAAACGTGAATAGAAACCAGAAACGGTTACGCATTTTATGTATAACAATGACAAGGGTCATATTAACATAACATTCATCTCCCAGTGAGGTTGTAGCTGCCATGTTGTTTTGCCTCCATTCCTTTCTTCGTTCTACTTTCAACGAAAGTGGCATCATTTTTAGTTTATAGTGAATTGTGTGACAGTTACTCTTACTCTCCTACAATACACTAAGTCATCACTGATTTTCAGTCATTTTGCCAGTGTTGGATAATCAGTCATTTATGTGAATATACAAGCATCGGAACTTTACTTAAAATCAACGTGTAATTGACTTAATTGGACGGAAATGTGCACAGCTATAGCTTCTATCATACTCAATCGCATTATTGTATTCTTCTATTATTGTTTTTTTCCATATGACTGTGACTTCTTAATCTTTCTTCAGATAATCATTATCATTTCTTTCACCTAATTGATAACCTTATTTCTTTGAGAGGCATTTTAGAAGTTGTAGAGATGAAGGAAAACCAGGTTCTATGGATAGGCAACTTCTTTGTCGCAATGGATGCGGAGTGCCGGTTTAGGTACTAACTCCGTCAGCAAGACTTGTCATCACTTGACTGGATAACTCTGTTAGTATCTTCACCGTCACGCCGCATTCATTGCAATAAAGAAGTTGACTATCCATTGATCTTGGATTTCCTTGATAACCTTATTGTCATTTTAGCATGCATCGATCTTGAGGAATGACCCAATACAAAACATGTAGTATACGGAGATGATGTTGTCATGTGTGTCTAGAGAGTAGCAATCAAGATCATTCAGTGTAGTCAGTTTATGAAATAAGCCAAAAGCCAAAAGACATCAGGGCTGGTAACTTCAAAATGTTACCAGCACCAAATGGATTTAACCAGACCAGACACCAAGATACGTATGGAACATCTAAAAGTTTTACCAGACCATCGGGCTGGCTAGTTGTAAATCTAGACCGTCCGTCAGAAATCTAGCCCGTCTCGGGCGGTCGGACGGGCCTTATTTCATACACTGGTGTAGTCCATAGAATCCACTTAGCTGTGAACTCACTCAAACTGTTTCTTAAATTATTCACAAAATATGCATCAGTTTGCACTGCCCTTTAAACTCGTTAACCCAAAGTAAAGTAACAATACATAACATACAACGTACAAGGCTTCAACCAACACAGGACAGGAATCTGTCAAAACAAATGTACGTAGTATATTTTTTAAAGTAATCTTATAAAATGCAACTCGATATCCTCAACATTACCACAAATCCCCCCATAGTGGCAGCTCCTTGCTACAGCAGGAGCTGGAATACCTGTCGCGATTGAACCAAACATTGTGTTGTTGTTTCATCTGTTTGTGTAAGACCGAAAGGCATGGCGTTTTGCCCGTCAGGCGGATTTATTCAAACTTGAAGGAGGGGATCATCTTACTCACAAAGCTTCGCTTTTTCTCCCCTTTAATGCCTTTTGAATGGCGGGCAACGGAAATCACTATCTATTTTAACGCTGAAGAACCTGGTGTAAATTTGTCAAGTAAGACGGCCCCAAATCTTGGTCAATTTTGGCACCCGTGAATAAGCCCTCCTCTATCTCCTGCTCGACTGTTGGTGCTCTTCCGCATTCCCGTGCTGGGGGAGAGTATGTTTGACAGGTAGGTGCGACATTCTGGTCAATGTTGGGACAATCACCATCTAAACACCTTTTGGAAATATACGTGGGCGTTTGTTTCTTACATCGGAAACACAAACGGTTTATCTTGATATACCGAGATCATGTCGTGTGTCTTTTTTGTCCAACATAACATCACCAGCTTAGCGTGGAAGGGCTTATGCTATTTATATTTTTGTATTTGTATCCGAAAATCAATCGATGTTTTATCCATAGTTTGTGCTTCTTTTTCGATAATGATGCAATGATGTGCAATCCTAACACATTGGTATCTCATATATGAGATGTACTATGGATTTCACAAACCATCTCGTGATATTAAGAGCTGTTTATGTTACTAATACGATTAGATTTGTAGCGCTTACACTTAAAATGACCAAATCTCAACGCCATTCAGAAAATTATAATTTCATGTGATTAGAATGATCCAATGCATTCCATCAAAATTAAGATCAGTAATCAACCACTATAAACCATGCCTTCTAAAATTGGCAATAAAAGCGCCAAAACCATTTTTATATTTATAGGAAATCTCTGCTGAAAGTAGAGTCGATTGCACGAGTCTTGCCTTTTCATTAGCATGTGTTTAGGAATCACTATCGAATTGTGATGATACCAAGTGTTCCCGAACAGGTGAACGTACTCTTCCCCAAATGTCACAAACACACGCAAAGACCGGCAATGTTTCACCTGAAACTGATGATACTACAGAATAACATTGAACACCTGTGTTGTAACTGAAAAACAGAAAACTCTTGAAGTTTAAAACGAAATTTGTCATTTTACAGAAATCAGTGCATATTAACAAAGCATGCATTATTCATTCGGAGCCACTAACAGCAGTGAGGTGATAGTCTTACATGTATGAAAAACACCTGTTACAAGAACATTTGAAATTGGATTCATTCCATTAAAAAGTAAAATCCAATGAGATCCCTAATAACACCTCTGTTGTCAACTTGACAATACAAACGTTGAAAGTTTAACTCCAATGAAACATTCAATTGATAAAGCCTCTAGAAGTTTAAACGAAAAGTTAAAAAATGTGTTAGAAAAAACCTGCATACAACCAGTGTCGACCACATTCCATTCAAAAAGTATGATTCATTCAAAGACCCAATAAAGCCTTTATTTTCATATTTACAAATACAAAACAATGATAGTCTAACACCAATGAAAGTGTGTCTTTTCGCCTAGTGTATGCACGTCTCACAATCGTGTTACGAAGAGGGCACCTGCCTATACACACAGACAATTACCGTATTTGTCCACACAGCGGCTGACGAGGAATTACCCGTGTTGGTGCCAGGCAGAGTGTATCGATACTGTCCACTTCCTAAATATGACAGCCGGTCGTCAGGTCCTATTCCGTTCCCAGACCCTGCAGAACTTATTTCCCCAACTTGACTCTCGAATGACTGAGCAAGTCTGGATTGAATTAGCTTTAAGAATTGTTCTTGGAGATTTTTAATTATTTTTGGATTTTTTTTTTTGGTCGATAAAATATTTTTAGAAAAGATGGATTTTTTGACTGAATGTCAGTCGATGAAGGTCCAATTAGCCGAGTGTGTTATATACAACACTACACAGAACCGAATCGTTGCATTACCTGTTTTGTTTCTTTCATATTCTTTTTCTCTTTTTTTTTTCTGTGCGAGAGGGATTAGGGCTAAGGACAGTTTAGGGACTGGTCGTTATTCTGAAGAGTGGTCGGGTTGATGTGTTTCTGCAGAAATGT